CCCCCCCCTCCCCCCCGCTCTCCTGTCAGTCCCTCCCTCCGTGGCCCCTTCCCAGCGCTTTGGAGCCACATTTCCTTCCTTGCACTGGAAAGCCCGACATCTCTGTTTCTATTTGGGTAGTCCCTTCTCCATCTCTGCCTCACCGAGCACGGACGTGGTCTGCGTGGTCCTCGTGCAGACTAACCGATTGGTGCAAATGTGCCCCAGGCGGATCCCCTGCCAAGCCAGACTGTCCTCAGGAAAAGCCCTCCAGCAGGGGGTGGGAGTGGGGGGCGCTTTGCCGTCCTGTAAGGGCGCCCGGGCCAGGCTCGTAAATCCAAGGAGGAGCCCCAGCTCAGGGCCCTAGTAGGACCTCCCTCCCCGGGGCGCCCAGGAAGTCCACGATGGGGGCGCTCCTGTCTTGCCCGGCCGGCTGCTTCTCTCGCCAGCCCCACAGAGCTGCTTCCTGGCCACGCCTCCCCCGGTCCTACACAGCCCCGGCCCCCTGCCCAGCACCTCGCAGGTTCTCCATCCTGGGCATCTCTCCGCCTCTCTGCCTCTGGGTAGGGGCTCCTCCTCTATATTCCCACCCTGACTGCTCACATCCAGAACCCACAGCAAGGCCTGCCTGGCCTCTGGGGTGTGAGACTGGCACCTGTGAGCCTGATGGGCACCTGCGCTGGTGGGGCTGTTCCAGGGAGACGCATTTGGGGGTGGTGAAGTCACCCTAGGACAGAAGTTTGGGGTTGCAGAGGCACGGCAGTGTGTGTAGGGTGGGTGCTGGCCTTGGCGAGGGAGGGCCCCATGCAGTGGCCAGGGTAGGAAGCACAGCCCCTGGGGCTCTGCCCTTCGTCCTCACAAGGAAGAGGGTGGGGAGACAGCCAGGGCACAGTTGCCAAGGAACTCACCCTGTCTGCTCAGCGGAACCCCAGGGTCCACATCCTGGGGGAGGGCATGGGGTGGCCGTGCCTCTGCCATCACAAGAGGTCATAAAACAAACGTGCAGCCTAATAATGTAACAGAAGGGCACCCCAGCCATCCACCATCCAAGCAAAGACTAGAAATCCCAACCCAGCCCCGACGCAGCTCCCCTCCCCGACGGGCACCGCCTCTCAGACTCTCCAGACACAGGAGCAACGATTGGTCCGGACCCCCAGAGTGCGTGTCTAAATGCCGCCGATTGGTTCCTAAAGGTTTCAGTTGGAGTTCTCTTACTATCGAACCTTCCTTTGCGCCCGGCTTCTTTTGGCCACCGTTGTTTTGTGGGACTCAGGGCTGCTCTTGCGTGAAGCTGTGACCGGTCACTTCCGTTGCTCCAAGGACTCCGTGGTAGGAACACCCCCATTTATTTACTTGTGTCACTCTGGGTGATGTGTGGTGCTGTGTGCACATTCACGCCCACCCGTCCTGCTGGGTGTCCACGCTGGAGTGAGGGCTGCTCGGCGTCGGACGTTGAGTGGATTACGTGAGCGGACGCCACCCATGTGGCATCTCTCCTGGGTCCTGACAGGCTTCAGTGTGTCCCCTTAAGCTGGTTCTAATTTATCTCCCTCGGGGACTAGTGAAGGTGAGCACCTTTTTAGTATTCGTGGCCATTGAAATCTTTTTCTGTCCATTTTTCTATTGGGTTTATCTTTTTCTTTACCAACTTGAGATGTCCGTTTTATATTTTGGTATCTGCCCTGCGTTGGCTTCCTCAGGCCGCTGTGGCAAATTACCACAAGCAGGTGGCTTAAGACAACAGACATGTATTTTTCCATCGGCTCTGGAGACGAGAAGTCGGAAATGAAGGTTGGGGCAGGGCCGTGATCCCTTTGAGGCTCTAGGGAAGATCCTTCCTGCCTCTCCTGGCTTCTGGCCACCCCATGTGTTCCTGGGCCTGTGAATGCATCCCTCCAACCTTCTCATCTGGACCTGAGCATCTCCCCGTGTGCGTCCACATTTCTCCCTTCTGTAAGGACACCAGTCATTGGCTTAGGGCCCCTGCAGTCCGGTATGAGGTCATCTTAGTTACATCTGCAGAGACCCTGTTTGCTAGTGAGGTTACGTTCACGGGTGCCAGGGGTTAGGGTTTGAACGTACCTTGTTGACGAGCCCGCAAGTCCTTTGCCAGTTGCATATCGCAAACATCTTCTCCCAGTCGTGCTTTCTGTTTCCATTCTTTGAAGTTGCGTTTTAATAAGCAGAAGTTCTTAAATTGAATGTAGCCCTTTGATGGTTAGTACTTACTTGTCATACTGAAGAACTCTTTCCCTCCCCCAGACCAGGAAAACATTCTCCTGTAGTGTCTTCCAGACGCTTTCCCAACTTAGCTACATCCACATGGAGTAGATTTGTGTGTGTGAGGTGGGGTTTCGGTGCCTTGCTCTCCGTGTGGACACATGTTTATCGAAAGGCGGCATCTCTGTCATAAATCTGTGGTCCGTGTGCACAGGCGTGTGTATACCACGCATCTGTACCACAAGGCTGTGCGACTGGCTGCACCTGGCGGACGAATCCTACCCCTCGGTCATTTTCAAGGGGTCACGTGTTCTTGTCCCCTTGGTTTTTATATAAAATTACGATGCCGGGCATGTTCACACGCAAAAGAATTCTTTTGGGCTATGGATTGGGTGTATTGATTCTACAGACACGTTTTGGGGGAAATGATATTTTTTTTTAATTTTTTTTTTCAACATTTATTTATTTTTCGGACAGAGAGAGACAGAGCATGAACGGGGGAGGGGCAGAGACAGAGGGAGACACAGAATCGGAAACAGGCTCCAGGCTCTGAGCCATCAGCCCAGAGCCTGACACGGGGCTCGAACTCACGGACCGCGAGATCGTGACCTGGCTGAAGTCGGACGCTCAACCGACTGCGCCACCCAGGCGCCCCTATTTTTAAACATAGAACCTTCCCAAATCCATGACCATTCCCTACCCCACTTACTGAAAGAATTTAGGTCTCCTTCAGTGTCAGTAATGTTTTGATTGAGGTTTTCCATGATTTTCTCATTAAGTCTGGTCCTGAGTGTTTAATATTTCCAGTGCCGCTTAAGTAGAATCTTTGAAAAGCTTATTTCCTAATCTGTTGTCACTAATGACCCCTGAATACCTTGGATGACCCTGCTGGCCTCACTCTTCAGCCTTTGTCACTTATCTGTAGAGTGTCGTGGGTGTTCTGCACATACAAGGTGCTTCATCTGTGAGCAACGAGAGTTTGGCCTGATCTCGTCCAGGCCTGTTTTCTCTCATTCGTTTTCCCTGCCCGACAGCTGGCTAAAACCTCCTGCACTGTGATTTATAGAACTGATAATAGCAGGCCTTGATAGCTCCTTCCTCACCTTAAAGGCAAAGCTTTCACTGTTTACACCGTATAAGGACAGCTTAGAGGTTTTTGTAGATAACCTTTATCATCAGATTAAGGAAGTTTCCTTCTGCCCTTGAAGTGCTAATAGATAATTAAAATAATAAATGTTGAATTTTATCAAATACTTCTCCAGGTATTATTGAAGTTAATCAGGTGATCTTTCTTCTGTATTCCTTATGGTGAAAAGACTGATCACTTTTTTAAACAAATATTTATTTTGAGAGAGAGGGGCAGAGAGAGAATCTCAACAGGCTCTGAGCTGTCAGTGCAGAGCCCGGCGTGGGGCTCGAACTCACGAACTGTGAGATCATGACCCAAGCCAACGTGGGACGCTTAACCGACTGAGCCCCCCAGGCGGCCCTTCCTTTCTTTGTTCTTATTTATCGGTCAGCCTAGAGGTAAAATCGTCTTGAGCTCCTGAGGGGGGGTGGAGGGGGTGGGGGGGCTGTGCGCTCCTCCAGGCACCTCCGCTGTCCTCGGCTGGTCCTCTGTCTCTCGTCAGGGTATTCCAGCCCTACTACTGTGCTCTGTGCAGTTAGCATTTGGATCTTCTCACTGATGTCCTTTCTGTACCTCTTCCTTACTTCCTGCATCTCCAGGAGATTTGTCAGATAGAACACAGGACGCCCAGCTAAACTCGAATTTCAGACAAATAACTTTTTGATACGTCCTATTTTGCATATTACATGGGACATAGACGTCAAAAAACTTCCATTGCTTATCTGAAATTCAGATTTAACCAAGTGTCCTATATTTTTAGTTGCACAGTCTGGCCACCCTACTCTCCAGCCTTCTATCTGGGATCATTTTCTGTTGAGCACATAGCTGCCCTTGGAATGTGCTGGAATGTGCTAGCAGGTTGGCTAGCTGCCGGCTCTGCCGGTGTTGTGTGTCTGGGCACTCTCTGGTCAGAGGCAGCACCCCTTGCATGGCTCTGGGACCCAAAGGGAGACCAGAGGGCAGGAAGGGACTAGAAGCCTATGGACGAACACACCCACTTTGTCCTGGGAGATTGGCTTGTCCCGGCCCAGGTGTGAGGAACACCGGGGTCAGCTGGGGCCCTCTGGCTCCTGCAGCAGCCGGCATGGACGTCTGCTGGGTGCTGAGTGGCCAGTAACCTTGTGTCTACTCTGCACAGGACGAGGACCACCCATCACCATGGTGAAGCTGGGCTGCAGCTTCTCCGGGAAGCCGGGCAAGGACCCCGGGGACCAGGATGGGGCTACCACGGACAGCGTCCCTCTGATCAGCCCCCTGGACGTCAGCCAGCTCCAGCCACCATTCCCGGACCAGGTGAGGGCCTAGACCAGCATGAGGGGGTGAGGGGCTCTTCTCAGCCTGCCCTGTGCATAGAGGGCAGTGGGGTGAGTTTTATGCAGATGTGGCCTCCCCCAACGTGCAGGAGAGCCAGCAGAGGTAGAGCCGGGCTGGACCAAAGCCCTAGTCGGCTATGGGTGATCCATGTGACCTGATCAGCTCTCTGGTCACCCAGAGTCACCCTTTCCTCATCCGTGAACGGGGGTCACTGTGAGGACTCCCACAACATCTTGCAGACAGTGCCCAGCCCACGGTGCTGCCCACAGGCGCTCAGCAAGCAAACAATTCCCATCCTTCCCTGAGGGCCTGAAACAGGGTCCTGGGGCAGGTGACCGATGGGGACCCGCTGTCAGGAGGGATGTGTGAGAAGCAGGGCTCGGCTCTAGCGTAGCCCTGCCTGACCCCACACGAGCTGACTGGCATCAGGACTTGTCCCAGCAGGAGGGAGGGGGCAGGCAGCTGAAAGCTTTTGTCTGGGGGCCGTGGGGGTGGGAGCACCTCCCAGTGATCTGGGGGGGGCAGCAGCCGAGTCCGCCACAGGTCTGGATCTGGCTCTCAGTAGACACGTGGGGAGGCTCAGTGCTCACCCCTTGGGAGCATTCACAAAGCACAGGACTATTTGCCTGTGCCCCAGGTGGTAGGGGCCTCAAGACTCTGGGAGCCAGAGGAGAAGTCAGGGTGGACTTCCCGGAGGCAGGAGCCAAGCTGTGGAGCACCTAAAAGGGAAGCTCCTGGCCTGGCAGGGAGAGCTGACTGCAGCCCCCAGACTAAGGGGCTCCCTGTGTGGTGTGGACAGGCCCCAGGGCCGCCCGGCCCAGCAGGCTCTCTGCCTCCACCTTCCGTTGGCCTCAGCTTGTAGCCAGTGGAGCCACTAGGCAGTCCTGGCAGATGGCCAGCACCCACACCACTGCCGGGGAGCTGACCCCTGGGCCTGCCCCCGCCAGTCCTCCCGGTTCAGGGTCCTCCTGGGCCATCTCTTTCCACAGGTGGTTATCAAGACACAGACAGAATACCAGCTGTCCCCCCCGGACCAGCCAAAGAAGTTCCCCGACCTGGAGGCCCAGAAGCTGGCCTGTAACCACCCTGAGGAAGGACGCAGGGTAACCCAACCCTCCTGGGCCCATGGTGCCCAGCGGTCAGTTCCATGGGGAGTCAGGGCAGGGGAGATGGCGAGGAGGAGGCTGCAGGCCATGGGGGGCCACGTCTGGGCCAGGTTGGCCGGGACCTCTTGCTCACTCGCCTGCTCTCAGGAAGAGAGAGGGACAGGACACCACCCCGTTCAGAGGCCTTCATCCTGCTATAAAGTGGATGAGAACAGCATCTGCCTTCAGAGGGGCTCCTGCCTTGAGCCACCCTGGGCCCCACCTGCTCCTGCTGTGTGTCCGTTTTCCCTTAGTGACCCCTGGGTTTTCTAGGTACTATGGAAAGTCACTTATGCTATATATCTGGCTAATATTTTCACCCTTCCTGTTTTTTTAGCTCTTAAGTTCACTAAATGGTTTTGGGGTTTTTTTTTTAAATCAGTTTTTGCACACCATTTCTAAAACCCTTTATTTTTCATTAGTGACACCTGTCATCTCCTTTCCTCCGTTGTTTCTGAGAGAAAAGCCAAACAGAAGCGAGCGGGGCTGTGTGAGGACCGCCCTGGTCCTTCCAACAGCTTCACACCCCCCTCCTCGGGTCTCTCTCCTTCCCGCAGCTGCCCACAGCGCGGATGATCGCCTTTGCCATGGCGCTCCTGGGCTGTGTCCTGATCATGTACAAGGCCATCTGGTATGACCAGTTCACCTGCCCCGACGGCTTCCTGCTCCGGGTAAGGCCTGGCCAGCTGGGTGTACGGGGTCGGGGTGAGGCAGGCAGTCGCGACCTTACTCTGCTCGGGC